AAAATGCGGAAAATATAGCCTTGCGAAATTTGCAATTTTCAGTCATTTTAGATTACAAACCGGAAATTGACAGCCTCGAAGGGTTTGGGGCTGTCCATTTCCCGTTTGTAATCTAAAATGACTGAAAATTGCAAATTTCGCAAGGCTATATTTTCCGCATTTCACAACATTTCGCAACGAAACTTTGGAATGTTACTAATTTTGTGATGCTCTTTCAAGCTGTAATGAAATTTTTGTCTAGACTTGTTTAGTTCAAAATTTAGTCTATTACGCAAATGGTCAATTGGGAAAACCGCGTTTAACGCGGAATTTTTTACTGTGGCTAACACCCTGACTTGGTTTTACACAACACAACTCGAGTTCTAAGCAGTTTGCATGTTACGTTCCTTTTGTTATTGGCGATGTTGTATTACAAATGTTATAAACCTTTCCCTAGTTCAACTCAAAAAACCAGTTTTATTCTGGCTAAATTTCAAGTTTTAATATAGCACACACCGGAATATTTGCCAACCTATTGATAGTTAATTAAACAAAATAAATCTTGCTTAGTACGCGTCTGGGCATGTCGCGCATACAGCAAATACGCAATATATTCACAACAACAACAGCTGCACATCGTTCTGATAAACACGCAATATATTCAGCTTGTATATCGTGTTGGAAATAATCGTCCACAATGACCTCGACTGTTGATATATGGTTTTGTGTTCTACTTTACATGTTAAACGTTGCCGCTGTTGTGAGAGGATCACCTGACGCGCAATCATCGTATCGTACGAGGAACGCTCCTAAATGGTTCAAAGACAAGCTGCAACGTTTGAACGCGCAGGAATCCCTTGGGGAGATTGAGGAAGTACCTACGTTCTTCCGCAGACGAAATAAAGATGGGAAAATTATGAATGCTTTTGAACAAGACACTTGGTTTGAGATACACGCTAGACACTCAGGTAAAATAAACTTTTCATTGGTAGAGATGCAACTACCTGAAAAATATAAGGAGAATTTCGACGTTTCAGCCCAAGATGATCCTCAGTCTGGTTAGAAAACTTTCATGCATACCAAGGTCCCACTCCTGACACCATGTA